AAAAAAACCACCCAATTTCTAAGGCTTAAGTTATATTAAGGTAATAAATAATAATGTTAATGTGCATTACTTAGAAGTGAACCAAAGTGATTCAGATTATCTCAGCATAATCTACTGATTGGTTTTTATTGATTTAACTGTATATTATTTTGCTTGGGATGCTTTGAATATATTCATTAACTTCCAAAAAGTGCTTGGGCTCTATAGACAAAAGTGACATCATAGACTCGGAATTATACTTTTGCTTCATGATTGAATTTGAATGTGTACCTATATTAAAGTAGAAAAATTAGAGTTTATTGTTATATTTGTTATGGGTTGTCTATTTTTCTGATAGATACAAGAGTAAACCTGATGATGACTTTGAAGATCCCAAAGATCTTCAAGCCATCAAAGAAGCCCAGGTGTACATGGGAGACTTCAATCTGAAGACAGCACCAGACTACAAGATACCTGAGCACATGAGAATAAATGCTGCCAAGAAGGAAGAGGAACTAGGACACCTAGACACTTTGGTACGTACCCACAGATTTCATGACAATGAGAAGGCACCTTGGGTTTTTAATTGAATTCTGCTAAAACCACCCATTTCCCTATCTGGTCAACAAGTATATATGACCACAGCAATTTAGAGCTGGAAAAGACTTTCATGATTATCTATCATGCCCTCTTTTTACAAATGAGGAAATTGAGGACCTGAGAGGACAAGAGATTTGTCTATGATCAGTCAGCTAGTGGGGCAGAACCAGCTTTCATGTTAATTATATGGCTCAATACTAGTTTCATGGGTGAAAGCATTATATTTTGTGAACTTTGAACCTCTGAAATTCAAACAAATCTTTATTGGGTTTAGATTTTGGCTGCCGTGGACCACCAAGGGACTTAGGAAAAAAGGCCATTGTTTAGCCTTTCTTTGTGGGACTTCCAAACTTTTTTAGGTAACTTGATACTAATCAATTAATATATTGCTTTTTGACTCTCTCTGCATTCCTCCAAACTGCTAGCAATCATCCTGATTTCTGATCTCCATTTTCTTCTTAAAAAGTTCCTCTTTGTGCCATATTAATTCCTTAATCACCATTTGAACTGACAAGTGACTTTTTACACTTCAAGGCTTAGAAGGCACCTAAGCTACCATTTTTTGGAGATTTTGATACTTGGCCATCTAATATGGTTGTGCAGGTTGCACATTTCAAGGCATCACATTGCAGAGGGTGCCAGTTATATCACAGATATAGTATATTTTATAATTTTCTGACAAATGGAAATGAAATGTCCTGGGGGAGGAGTGTCTTTTTCTATTCACCAAAGACACACATGCCAGCAGCACAAGGATCCACATGGCAATGCATAACCACAAATAAATTTTCATAGCTCATAACTACCTTACTGATCAAAATGGACATTTTGGACATAGTATGAGTGACATTTGGATTGTTTTTCTAGCTGTTCATCTAAGGTAGTTCTTGGTTGTCCATCATGTTCCGTCTGTCATCATGAAGAAATGTTCTTATGATCACAATTTATTAGTCATCCGTCCTGAAATTTTATAGTCTAGTTGGGCAGGTGTGATGTCTTTAATTTAATTGAATTATACTGAAATCTGCTTTATTAAAATGGCAGCATACAATAATGTAGAATACCTTATTCTACAGTCAGAAAGCCAGACTTCCATTTTCATCTTTGTCACTTAAGCTATATGAACTTTGCTAAGTCATGTAAATCTCCCTAAGCCTTTTACCTTATCTGTAAAAGAGGTATTAATACCAGTTAACAACGAGAAGACATGTCTAGTCTACCTTACAGGATTAATGTAATGGTTAAAATCAATAAACAGCTATTATTGTCATGGTCAAATTCAATATCATTGAAAAGTATTAAGCAGGTTTTTTTGGTTTGTTTGTTTTTTTTTTATTTTATTTTTACTTTTTATTTATTTATTTATTTTTTATTTCAGCGTATTATGGGGGTACAGATGTTTAGGTTATGTATGTTGCCCTTGTCCCCCTGTTTATTTTATTTTTATTTTTGAGACAGCATTTTGCTCTGTCACCTGGGCTGGAGTGCAGTTGCATCATCATAGCTCACTGCAACCTCAAAGTCCTGAGCTCAAATGATCCTCCTGCCTCAGCTTCCCCAGTCACTGGGACTACAGGCACATGCCATCACATCCGGCTAATTTTTCTATTTTTAGTAGAGACAGGGTCTCACTCTTGCTCAGGATGGTCTCGAACACCTGAGCTCAAGTGATCCTCCCACTGCAGCTTCCCAGAGTGCTAGAATTACAGGTGTGAGCCACCTTTGCCTGGTCTTAAGTGTTTTAAAAATAGTTTATTATCTATCCCTTTTCCCCAGTTTGTTATTTGAAAAACTAGCAAGAAAAAATTGGTATGGAAAGAGGCTCCTCAAAGAGGTAGGCCTGACAGACATCAGAGTGGTTTGGCTTTGTTCTTGTAGACCTAATCCTCATCCTCCAGGTACTTTACAGGTGGTTCCCTACTCACCCAAGTGCTGTCTTTAGTGTTTAAACCTCAGTGCTTTAAAGGCTTATTTTCAAGTATGCGAAACATCTCCTCTTGTTATGGTAGTTTTGCTTCATGGATGGTAAATATATAGGTTAAGTTTTGTAAGACTGCTTGAAGAAGTGCCTGTAGATCTTTTATTTTTTTAACTGTATATTTATGCAAAGTAACTCTTAATGGCCTTTAGACCATCTAGTAGCCTAACTACACGCAGAAGGTAGGGTTGCACGCGCTCTTAGGATCTGGTAATGGCATTTGGAAAACAGACCAGGGAGAGAGCTGGTACTAAAAGAGCAATGGGCCTTTATAGCACCTGTGCCTGGAGGCAGAGACACAGCTGGGCTTTGCTAAATGGAGAAGGAATCAAGGAAAGATCCTGGAATCTCTTGGTGTGACACAAGGAATAACATGTGGCCAAAGTACAGCACGAAAACAGGCTAACCTGTAGTTTGGCCCTAGGTGGGCAGCCCTACATGAGCCTAAGGGATTCGAGGTTCCATCAGTGAAAGGCAGTGAGTGGCCGTACCCTCCCTCCCTGGGGAGAGTGTCCCGCTGAGCACAAGGCTCAGAAAGGACTTCCACGGGGTGGTGAAGGGGCACAGAGGAGCTCAGCCTTACGAGCCAGCTGAAGGGAACACAGTGTGGAACACAAAGGGATACCAGAGGTCACGTCAGGCTGCCCTCCCATCTTGAAGGAGCTAAGTGAAAAAACCCTAAAACCTAGAGAAAAGGGTAACTTGATGGTCAACGAGGATGATCAGACACATTTCTATCTTGAATTTTTGCTAAGCCTATGAGTTAAGGGACAAGAGCAAATAATATTTTAAGCTGTGCTTTGTAAGAGGGTTGTCTTTTGTTTCCTTCCTCTTCTTTTTCTCAGGTCCATGGAAAGAAACGTCACATGAACAAGTGCATCCTCTCTCTTCGAGACCTTAAAGTGGCTGTTATCGAGGAAATTCAGTGCCTGGTACAAGAACTGAAGAGCATTCAGTCAACTCTTCACAGTTCCAAGCACATCCCCATTCCCCAAATCCCTCAGATACACCCAGACGAAGTTCCAGAGAAGAGATTTCAGTATAATGAGGAAACTCTCCTAAATTTTAAGCAAGAGCAGATGAAAAAGGAGGATGAAAAGTCCCCCCAAGTGGAACAGTCAGGATCTGGAGGCTCAGGTGGAGGATTTCTCAAACTTTCTTCTGGAAAGGATGGGGATTTGACGACACGAGACTCATTATCTAGATCATCAAAACCATCGGGGTTCAGTCTGGATATTCCAAAGTTTCTGGAATTTGAAAAAGCAGAGACAACTGATGTGGAGCTGGAGATTATGAGGAGGGATGAGATTAAACACGTGTACATGCAACAGTATTTGGTCAACAGGGTAAGGGGTGACGCTGTTCCTATTTGAAGCTAAAGGAGAGGAGAGCAGGGGAAGGATTGGTCCTCCCCAACCTTGGCCTTATGAAAACCACTGTGCACTGCCCAGAACCTTGGAGCTTTTTAACTCTTTCTTTTTGGAAAGCTGACTAAGAATGAAGGGCAGACCCATGTTTCATTTAGTTGACATCTAACTGAAGTCAGGGAGAAGGGGAAGTGGAGGAGCAGCTTTCAGGTGGTGGACAGAACGTAATTAGAAATCTTCCAGAGAAACGGGACACTCTGCTTTTCACAGCGTCCTCTTCCTCTAATGTCTGATTTGCTCCATTAGTGGCATGTTTACGGTGATTCCTGGGTTTGAAATTGTTCTGGAGGTGGAATGGTGGCTGCTTTTATTTCTAGGAAAAATCAGGACCAGACTAGGGCCGGTTGCACGGGATGTGCTCTGAATATGAAAGAAAAAGAAACTTTCTTGGATAGAGAGCTCCCTGTTGTCAGCCACATGGCGTCTCTTTCCTCCGTGTGTCTTTCCAGCTCCATCCCATGGTGGCGCCCCCTATAGCTTCCCAACCTTATTCTTCACCATTATCTCAACTTTTTCTAGCCTGCTTTCTCACTGTTCCTGCCTCTCCCCACTCCTCCTTGGCTTCCCATACTATTCTGAGTTTTATATCTGTGCTTTTTCCTTTGCTATTTTCTCATACCTGTGATGACTTCCTTCCAGAGTTGAGTCATCATTCAGAGCTTAGCCCAGTTCCAAACTCTCTCCAGCACCTTCTGCCCACATTGCATACTCTCTCCTTGTTTCTAAACTCCAGTTGCCCCTGTAATCAGCACCTCATATTTTACACTAATTTTTCTTGATGTTTCATGTGTGTTTTGTCTAGAAATTAGATTGTACCATTCTTGAGCAAAAGGCCACGTATACTTCCTCTGATTCCCCCACATTGCCTAGGCCTAGGATAATGCCACACATAGTAGATAGTCAGTGAAGAGTTTCCATTGGTTTAATTGTAACTAATTTATTTATTTTATTAATTTAAAAAATATGTATTGGACATTATATGATAGCTAGGTAGTAGGAATACAATACTCAAAAAAGACACATTCTCTATCCTTGCAAATCTTATAGGCTATTGGGGCGAGAAAAAATAAAACAAATATAACCCTTACAAACTGGGAGGCCTATATGGTCCAGTTTAAGAATGATGTTGCACTGAAGAAAATATAGTCCTCCCTCTGAAGAAATTTAGGAATAATTCACATTTGTTGAATAAGCATTAAGGAGGAACCCAGACATAGTCTATAGCCATACTTATCTAAAAGTTTAATTTTTTCTTCTCTCTTCACTCTGTTTTTTTTTTTTTTTCATAGCTCTCTCAGATTCCCTAGTAATTTTGCTGCCCCAACCACACAGAGCTCTTCCTCTTCCTTAGCCCCCGGTCTGGGCTCTCGCTCACTATAGGCTTTTGACAGTGGAGGCCCCCTCTCATGTACAACCTAATGCAAAACATAGAATGGATTGTCTCTTCCTATATTATACCAGTTTCCTTGGGAGAATCAGCCCTTGGTGCTCTCTCTTGACCTATTCATCTCTTTTGGGATGAGGCAGGGGAGAGCTGTGCCCAAATCAGGGCAAAACAGAGGACTTAAAATTATTAGAACCACAGAGGAATAAGGTCTGGACTAGGACTTGAGATACTTAGGATCTTATCCCACCTCTGTAACAAATCAGCTTTGATTTCAGGAAAATCACTTTTGGCCTCTATTTCTTCATCTGTAAAATAAGAAGATTAAATAGGTTTTTTTTTTTGTGGCTCCATGATTATATTTATGTATTTAAAAATATTTACCATTCAGTAGGTTTGAAAATTTTCAAAATAAGAAATTGGGGGAAATATTTATTTGAGCTTACTATATAAAAGGCAATGTAGAGATACCATAAAGAACAAAGAGAAGATAGGTATAGACACTACCCACTCAGAAAGCTATGCAGGCTATACAACACAGCAAGGAGGGCATTCTTAGTTGTTGGCTTCAATGGTGGTGAAGAAATAGCTGGAAGGACTGTAGTTACAGAATTCTTACCACTTAACAAATTAATTTATGTAAATTTAATGCAATTGATGGATTAATTTATGTGAATACACATACACACACATAATTCTCCATCCATAATAGGGGCATAATGAAAAAATGCTTTTAAACAAATTAGTACTGTTAGATAGTTTTAAAATGTATTTACCTATTCTTCTTAACTTCTCATATATCCTCACATCTCTTTTCCACCTCAGATCAAAGAACTGATTGTCACTTTTGATGCAGAACTCCGTGTCCTGAGACATCAGAAGCTGAAACTAGATATTCAGATGAAATTATCTGACCTGCACCATATTACGTTATTTCAAGAAATGCTTCTCCTCAAGAATTTTGAAAAACAGGAGAACATACTTCAAGAGCGTGTTAATTCCTTAGACAAAGAGGAAGAGTTCATGCAAGTATGAGCAGGCAGGAGAATTCTAGCTGGCAGCTCCCTTAGTTATGGAGGGAACTTGATTCTTTTTGACTTTTTTTTCCTCCTTAATTTTCCCACTTGTTCTAGCTCCTATTTTTTTCTTGTCTTCTCTTCCCTCCTCCCTTTTCCTGTTATTCCTACTTACTCTCCATCTTTAGTTATCTGTGGTCAGAGGTAAATGACAGATATTTTAGTGAATTTGATCTGACAGTTTGTAAGATAGGAGAATAAAATGTTCAGAAGTGAGCCTTGTATTTAGTTTATTGATGGGTTTCAAAAGTCTATATTTTGTGCACCAGCTATCATATGAAATAGAGTTTTGATTATATGTTATCCTTATGAACATTACTGGAAAAGAAGTTGTCAGTTTCCTAAGTATGATAGCTAGTTTCAGTGTAATCTATAATTGAATATCATAGGAAACAAAGTTTCTTTATTTGTTATATCCATATGTTAAATTTAAAGATCTAAATTATACCTATCTTTGTTTTAAAAGAAGAAGGATTCTATAAAGTAGATATCATACACTGAATAATGAGTTTTGGGGTGTATCAGCTTCACTAGAAATGATGTGTCTTTTCATTTTAGTTATCATATATCAGTATAAAAATGCATTTGAGACTATGCATGCAAAAATATCGGTTGACATCCACATATCAACATATTTGTTTAATTTAGATTTTTTGAGTGAGCTTAGCATTAAGAAGCCGATCTTTCTGATTCTGAACTTAACTTTTACAAAAGAATTATAAAATTTTAACCAAATGATGGCTCTGCAAACATCAGAAATGTAAACTTCTATTAAGAAGCCTTTAAAAAATGTTTTTAGACTGTAACCTTACATGGCAAAGTACATTGCTCCCTGAACCTGGTTTATCAGAAATATTCTATTTATCTTTTGTTCTTGTTTTTATTCATTCAGTGGAAAATAAATGAAACTCTTAAAGAGATGGAAGAGAAAAAGAATGAAATCAGCAAGCTCCAGGACCAAGAAAAGGCACTCTATGCTGGTTTTCAAGCAGCGATTGGAGAAAACAATAAATTTGCTAACTTCCTCATGAAGGTCCTAAAGAAGAAGATTAAGCGGGTAAAGAAAAAGGAGGTTGAAAGAGATGCCGGTTTGTATTCCTTTCTTACGTATCATCCTGTTTTCTCTCATTAACATGAAATAGAGAAATAACTAAGGGACCTATTAGATACCCTATTGTTCTGACTACAACATAGACAATATAGAGGCACTGTGGGGGTTGAAGAGGAGAGGATATAAGCCTTTTAGGTCTTTAAACATCTGGAGTCTCTGTGTGTATGTGTATGTTTGGTGTATCTGGTATGAGTTAGTAAGGGTAGTTCAATTTAATAAGCACATCTTTTATGTGTTTATTTGCCATCTGTATATCTTGTTTGGTGAAGTGTCTTTTCTTGTCTTTTGTCCATGTTTGAATAGGATTGTTTGTTTTTTAATGTTGAATTTTGAGAGTTCTTTATATATTCTAGATACTAGTCCTGTGTTGGGATATGTGGTTTGCAAATATTTTTTCTTGGTGTGTAGTTTGCCTTTTCGTTTGCCGTAGCACCATTTGTTGAAAAGGTTGTCTCTCTCCCACTGAATTGCTTTTGATCTTTGTCAAAATCATTTAGGCATATTTGTGTGGATCTATTTCTAGGTTGCCTATTCTATTCCACTGGTCTTTGTGTCTGTGCCTCCACCAATATACTGCGATCTTGGTTACTGTAGCTACATATTGAGTCCTGAAATCAGGTAGACTAATTCCTTCCACTTTATTCTTCTTTTTCAAAATTGTTTGAGTTATTCTATCTTTCCATATTTGAGAATAATCTTGTTTATATCTGCAGAAAATCTTCTTGGAAATTTGATAGCAATTGTATTAAACCTGTGTATTGATTTGGAGAGAACTGTCATCTTTACTACATTGAGTTTTCTAATGCATGACACAGTATGTCTGTTTATTTAGATCTTCGATATCTTTAATCAGCATTGTATAGTTTTCAGCATATAATTCATGTTCATGTTCTATTAGATCTATACCTATTTCCTTTTTTTAGTGATTTTAAATGATATTATATTTTTAATCTGAATGTCTTCATGCTCATCACTAGTAATTGATTTTTATATGTTTGTCTCATACCCCATGACCTTGCTTACTAGTTCTAAGAGTTTTTGGTAGATTCCTTGGGACTTTCTATGTAGCTGATAATTTTATCTGCAAATATGGGCAGTTTTATTTATTTATTTCTGATCTGTATGCCTATTTCCCATTTCTTGCCTTATCGCATGGCTAGAACATTGAGTACTACATTGAAATAGAGTGCTGAGAGATGACTTCCTTGCCTTGTTCACAGTCTTAGGGGGAAAGCGTTCAATCTTTCACCATTAAGTACAATGCTACCTGTAGGTGTTTCATAGATACTCTTTATCAAGTTGAGGAAGTTCCCCTCTGTTCCTCTTTTCATAAATTTTTATCATGAATGAGTGTTGAATTTTGTCAGATGCTTTTCTACATCAATTGATGATCATGTCGTTTTTTAAAAGCCTGTTAATATGGTAGATTACATTGGCTGATTATTGAATCAGACTTGCATTTCTGCAATAAACCTTTCTTGGTATAGTATAAAATTCTTTTTATATATTGCTAAATTCTGTTTGCCAATAGTTTGTTAAGAAATTTTGAACCTGTATTTATGAAGATCATTGGTCTATAGTTTTCTTTTTTTGTACTGTCTTTGTCTGGTTTTAGTATCAGGGTAATACTAGCTTCATCATATGAATTAGGAAGTCGTCTTTCCTCTTTAATTTTCTGGAAGATCCTGTATAGAATTGGTGGTGATTCTTCTTTAAACATTTAGTAGAATTTTTCAGTGAAATTGTTTGCACCTGAGAATTTCTTTTGGGGGAGTTTTCAAATTACAGGTTGAATTGTTTTAGTAGTTATAGGGGTATTCAAATGATATATTTCATTGAGTGAGTCATGGTAGTTTGTGGAGTTTTTCTGAAGAATTGGTTTATTTTGTCTAAGTTGCCAAATTTATATTTGTAAAGTTGTTCATTGTATTTATTTCCTTGCTATCTTTTTAATGTTTACAGGGTCTGTAGTAACATCACCTGTTGCATTCTTGATATTGGCAACTTGTATCTTCACCTTTTTTTTCTAGTCTTGCTAAATGTTTGCCAATTCAATTGATCTTTTCAAGAACAAACCAGCTCGTTGTATAAGTGATTTTCTTTATTGTTTTTCTCCTTTCAATTTTACTGATTTCTGCTCTTATCTTTATGATTATATTCCTTCTGCTTGCTTTTGGTTTATTTTGCACGTCTGTTTTTAGGGATTTGAGGTGGGAGCTTAGATTACTGATTCGAGACTTCTTTTCTAATTTAGTGTTTTAGCTGCATACCATATATTTGGATAGTTGGATTTTTATTTTCTTTCAGATCAATATAGTTCTTAAATTTTTTTATTTCAAAATATTAATTAAGGGGATACAAGTGTTTTTGTTACATGGATATCTCTTACAATGCTTAAGTCAGGGCTTTTGGTGTGTCCATCACCACAATAATGTTCACTGTACTCAATAAGTAAGTTTTTATCCCACACTCACCTTCCTACCCTCCCCCTTCATGGTTTCTCATGTCCTTTATGTCACTTTATCCCATGTGTACTCATTTATTGGGTCCCATTTATTAGTTAGAACATATGGTTTTTGGTTTTTTATTCTTGAGATACTTCACTTGGGATAATGGTCTCCAGTTCCATCCAAGTTGCTTCAAAAGACATTCCATTCTTTTTTATGGCTGAGTAGTACTCCATGGGATACACACACATACACACACACACACACACACACACACACACACACACACACACACCACATTTTCTTTATCCACTCATGAATTAAACAGCACTTAGGTTGATTCCATATCTTTGCAATTGTGAATTGTGCTGTGATAAACATTTAAGTGTAGGTGTCTTTTTGATAAAATGACTTCATTTCCTTTGAATAGATACCCAGCAGTAGGATTGCTGGATTGAATGGTAAGTCTACATTTATTTCTTTGAGGAATCCCCATACTGTTTTCCACAGAGGTTGTTCTTATTTGCAGTCCCACCAAGAGTGTATAACTGTTTGTTTCTCTCTGCATCCACGCCAGCATCTGTTGTTGTTTGACTTTTTTAAATTATGGCCATTCTGATAGGGGTAAAGTGGTATCTTATTGTAGTCTTAATTTGCATTTCCCTGATGATTATTGATGTTGAGCATTTTTTCATATATTTGTTGACCTTTCATCTATTTTCTTTTGGAAAACTTCTGTTCATGTCTGTTGCCCACTTTATGATGGGGTTGTTTGTGTTTTTCTTGCTGATTTGTTTCACTTCTTTGTAGATTCTGGATATCAGTCCTTTGTTGGATGTATAGTTTGCGAATATTTCTCCCATTTTGTAGGTTGTCTATTCACTCTGTTGGTTATTTCTTTTGCTATGCAGAAGTATTTTAATTTAATTAAGTCCCATTTATTTATTTGTGTCGTTGCTGTAATTGCCTTTGGGGTCTTAGTTATAAGTTCTTTGCCTAGGCTGATGTCTAAAAGAGTTTTTCCTACGTTTTTTTCTAGAATTTTTATGGTTTCATGCCTTATATTTACATCTTTAATCCATCTTGAATTAATTTTTGCATATGGTGAGAGATAGGGGTCCTGTTTCATTCTGCATGTGGCTATCAAGTTTTTAAAATTCTTACTGAGACTTGCTGTGTCCCATAGGTTGCATAGAAATGTGTTGTTTAGTTTAAAATGTTTTGAGATTTTCTGGTTATCTTTCATTTATTGATTTCTAATTTGATTTCATTATAGTCAGAGAATGCACTCTGTATGATTTCAATTCTTTTATAATCGTTGAGGTTTGTTTGATGGTATAACATATGATATATCTTTGTATATGTTCTGTGGGCACTTGCAAAGAATGTATAGATGCTCCTTGATTTATAATGGGGCACCTCCTGAGAAACCCATCATAAGTTGAAAATATCATAAGTAAAAAATGCATTTAATGCATCTAAGCTACCAAACATAATAGCTTAGCCTAGCTTACTTTAAACATGCTCAGAATACCTATATTAGCCTACAGTTGGGCAAAATCACTTAATACAAAGCCTATTTTATAATCAAGTATTGAATACTTCAAGTGATTTATCGAATACTATAATGAAAGTAAAAATCAGAATAGTCGTATGAGTCCTTAAAGTATGTTTTCTACTGAATGTATATTGCTTTCGTACTGTTGTGAAGTTGTAAAATCATAAGTCAAACCATTGTAAATCAGGGATTGTGTGTATATTTTGCTGTTTGGGATGGAATGTTTTATTATCATCAATTAGATCCTGTTGGTTGTTGATGCTATTGAGGTCTTCTAGATCCTTGACGATTTTCTGTGTAGTTGTTCTATTAAATGTCGAGAGAGGGGTGTTAAAGTCTCCAAATATAATTGTGGATTATTTCATTTTTCTTTTTATTCCTACCAGTTTTTGTTTCACATATTTTGCAGTTCTGTTGTTTGTGTGTATACTTTTAGGACTGCTATGTCCTCTTGATAGATTGTCACTTTTATCATTATATAAGTTTTGTTTCTGTTTCTGATAATTTTCTTTGCTCTGAAGTCTACTTTATCTGATATTAATATATCTGCTCCTACTTTGATGAATATTTGCATAATATATCTTTTTCCATACTTTTGCTTTCAGTTGCCTATATCGTTATATTGAAATAAATTTCTGGTAGTCAATATATGATTGGGTAATGTTTTTCATTCACTCTGGAAATCTCAATCTTTTCTTTGGTTTATTTAAAACATTTACATTTAATATAATTACTAATACTTTAGGGCTTAAGTCTGCCATTTTATTTTTTATTTTTTGTTTATTCTCTCTTTTTTTTTTTTGCCTTTGCTTCTATTTTCTATTTACTCTCTCTGTTTTCTCTTTATTCTTTTTCCCGACCTCCTGTGGGTTACTTGAACATTTTTTAGAATTCTATTTTAATTTTTTCTAGTGTTTTTAAATGTATCTCTTTGTATAACTTTTTTAGTGGCTGCTCTTTATATTACATTATATGTACCCAATTTATCCCAGCCCATCAATGTCATCATTTTACCACTTTAAGTGAAGTATAAAAACCTTACTTACCTTTACATCCCTTTACCCTCCTCCATTTATAATATAATTGTAAAAATATTTCCTCCACATATATCTAGTTGAAGATCTTCCTGGGTTTTGGTATGGTGATTGACTCTAAATTAAAACCTAAAAACTTTCATATTTATGTTATGAGACTGTGTATCTTATTTAAATCTTGTGTTTTACTTGGATTTCTCTAACACTGCTCTAACAAGGAAAGGGATGGGTACCTCCTTACTGTCAGTGGAGGGAGAAGTCCACATTCCCCATTCAGACTTCATTGTCACCCAAGGGAAGGGGGACCTCCTTGTTACTGCCATTTGTGGGTGGGAGTTTCAGCTCCACGTATAATCTCTACATCAACATGGTGGGGATGGCCTTGGTACTTATGGGCAATGATGAAAGTCCTGACTCTTCACTAGTGCTCTTCTGACACCACCCCTGAGGGGAGGGGGAAGTACATTGTCACTGCCAGATGGGAGTGGAAGTCCATGCTACCCATGTTGTCTCCATGGACATCATGGTGGTGGTTGTGGCAGTAGGGAGGCTGGTTACTAGCCAGCATTGATAAATGTCCTGGATCCCTACCTGACCGTCTTTGACACCATTCTGGCAGGAGTGTTGGGGTATCTCATTATAGCCCTGTGAGAGTGAATGTCTAGGCTCCTCACTTAACCTTTGCTGATGTGGGTGACGGTTGTAACAGAGTTCTTCTGTCACATTTGGTTGGAGCATAGTGGTTATTGTCTAAAAGTTTTCTGTCTTGCTAGCCTGCCCCTTTCCTGGTCCTCTGGCTAGAAAGGGCAAGCTTTTGTTGAGCCTTTCTATACTGGACCAGTTGGTGTTTCTAGGTTGCCAACTTACTCCTCTCCAAGTCTCAGATAGATGAGGCAAAAAGAAGACTCAAGGAACTCACCACAGTGTTGTTTCTCAGGTTCTGACATGGATAAGTTGGTCTGCTTGCTTCTCCATTTTTCAGAGTACCCTTATGTTTATTTTGCACATAATGTTTAGTTGTATTTATCAAGAGAAATAGGGAAAAGTAGGTCTACTTAATTTTCAGAAAGGAGAATTCTATGTAAAGAATTTTAAAGTCAAATTTTAAACTTTTCTGATTCATGTCATACAGTGGTACAGATCATTTAAAGTAATTTTAAGAGAGATCTTAAATTTAGGAAATTTTCTAGAAAGTATGATGTTTATCTCTTATCTCTAATTTGAAGTTCCACAAAACAGAAATTGTAAATTGGTAATCTGTAGTTCATAGATGACCTCAGGTATTTTAAAAGAAAATGAAGGCAGGGCGGAGTCGGGAGATCTACAACCTTCCCCAAACCCTCAGGGACAGATGGGTTGTAGTATTCATAAATTTTTATATTTTATAAAGATATTATATATGACATTGTAAAAAATCATTTATGACACTTATTAAAGAAAAATAAGGCAGACTTATTCAAGGGGACTACGACAATGGGGTTTTGTAGTGGGGAAGAGAGATTGGGTTTAACTCTGAATAAACCAAGGACAAGTGGAGATTTATAGCCAAGGAGCATGGTGGGGGTCAGCGGACAGAAAATTACTAAGCAGTAGGATAACCCTTTGCTAGACTGTCCTAACTGGACTTTTACTGAAGGCAGGCCAGGTTGATAAGATATTAAGTGTGGGGGGATGAGGAATTTGATCAGATATCAAGCAAGGGTGGGGAATTTTTGCTAAACTGACTCAGCAGGATTCTTGCTACAATTGGACTAGATGGGCTAAGGACAGAGCCTAAGGTCAGGAACTAGCCAGAAAGAGGGCTCAGAGAAGACTGACTCAAGTTTGCTTACAGGAGAGAGTCTTTGTCAACATTACACCCCCTACAAAGTCTGGTACAAGAACCCAAAATCGAACACCTCATACTTCTCCAGCAAAACATGAATATTCACACTAAGTAGGTTAAATAAAGACTATAACGATCATTACTTCAGTTCATATAACTTATGAAGATCTTTTCTAATTTTAGAGCATTCTATGATTTCGGAATTGTGGGCTTATTTCACCCAAGTGTTTTTCAGGTGGGTTATAACACATGCAGCTTGGCAACTTGGTCTCAAGCCCATCTGACTTGATGCAGTGATAATCTGCACAACCTCCTGCAGACATTTGAGTTTGTGTTCTCTGTGTCCTTAACCATTTTAAACTCTTCTAAAAATATTGAGTAATTTCCTGCTTTATCTCTTTGTTATTTTCCTAGTCACTGACTCATTGAGAAATAGTTTACTTTAAAAATCCGGTATTTAGTTTAATACAGGAACGTCTCCGCTAACAATGTCCTCCTCTCTCCTTAGATGAAGATGAGGAGAGCGAGGAATCGAGCGAAGAAGAATCCAGCCTGGAGAGTGACGAGGATGAGTCTGGATCCGAAGATGACGTTTTTGATGATTCTATCTGCCCAACAAGTGAGTTGGATAAAACCATGTGTTCTCTGTGAACTGTGAGGATGGATTGACAATACGGAAAAAACTGTTTTTTGTTTCTCAATTCTCTGATAATAAAACTTAAGGAAAATGTGGTTGAAAATGTAGAAAATGTAATGAATACTTTTTTTTAAGTATAAGGATATTTATTCATTCATTCAACACTATTGAACTTGTACTATGTGCCAGGCACTTATCTGGTGTTAGGGACGTATCGAAGTATAAAACAAACTCCCCCACCTTCATGGAGCTTACATTCTAGTGGAGGAAGACAATAAATATGATAAGTAAATTAAACAGAATCTTACAAGGTGATATATGCTATGAGAAAAGAAGTAAAGGGAGTTTAGGAGTGGGGGTGGGGAGGAGAGGTTGCTATTTTAAATAGCATGGCCAAGGAAAATGTTAATACTTCTAGGGGCTCTCTGGATGATTTATTATCTGTTCCCTTTGGCAGCTGTTTATGAGTGACAAATTAAATAATCTACAGACAATCAACAGTTGATTCAGAGTTACTATAAATTATGTAGCAACTTTCATTTCATAGAGAAACACCAGACAGGAATTTATATATATTTTTATAATTTTTTGACAAACTCATTCAAATTTTCATATTCCCAATCTGTTTTGTAAGGGCAATTTGTACCAGTTTCCTGGAAACGGTTGGTGATTTATATTCACTATTTTCACCTAGTCTGGCTCAGCCAGACCAATGCTCTTACAGTCTCAATAGATGAATGGTTCAGTAGAGAAAAAACAAATTTTTCTGGTCAGTAGTTTGTTTTTCTAGACATTTCAAATAAAGTTTTGGTTAAACTTTTAAAGTTTAGTTTCAAATAAAGTTTAAATCTTGTTTTACTTTTGAAAACAAGAATCTTCTTAAAATCATAATATTTTTGAGTGAAATAGAACATAAAAACCTTAAAATGCAACTTGTTATTTTACAGCAGGATTAAATGGCTTGAACAATGACTCACAGCTAATATAGTGGTAGAACTAGGCTAGAACTAAGGTTCCTACACTCCATTTTAGTATTCTGTTTTTACTTTCTCTATCACTTGGTGGATACATGTGGCTCTTAGGGTAATATAGTGGAAATAATAGAGAGATAATGCACTTGAATTCCATTCTGTCATGTACCTGTTATGTCACCTCTCTGAGACTTAGGGTCTTCACCTATAAAATGGAAAGAATAGTTCCTACCTTGCAGGGTCTATGAGCTTGAGTGAGTACATAAAGGGTCTCCTCGCACAAAGCCTGGCTCAGAGCATTGCTCAGAATGTCAGTACTAGTATCATTGTTGTTAATACTACCATAGTTATTAATACTATTATTAATTTCCATGTGGAACAGTGGAGCCATATGCATAGTAAGAGCTTGCTAGAGTGGTTCCACAAATAGATATTCTGAAACTCCAAAGTTCATACTTCTAGCACTACCACATTCCAAAACAAACGAGGCTGCTTTTTAATTTTAATTCTTTTTTCAGATTGTGATGTCGGTCTTTTTGAAATGGCCCTTCAACTTCGAGAGAAAAGGCTGGACATTGAGGAGGCCTTAGTTGAAGAAAAGAAAATTGTTGATAACCTCAAAAAGGAATATGATACATTGTCCAAAAAAGTATGGTGGTCTGCGAACTGATTTATCCTCTCTCGAAATGCTACACATCCTCCTAGCTATCATATTGCCAATGATAGTGTTAGGATTTCTCCTCAGAAAAGAAACATTTCAAATGTCATGGCCATTTTTTTTCTCCTTAAGCACAGTTGTGGTGGGGCCATTGCTCTTTTGATGATTAGACTATTTATCTCAGTCATTGGTCTCCAAACTTTTTTAATGACATTATTCTATAAGTAAAAAAAGAAAAGAAAAGCCCCTCCCCCTACAATAAATGTATATATATTTATAAATAGTATTCATGAACTATTATACTAATATATTTTGTACTTTATGAAACACAAAAACAGAAATTAAAAAGAATGAGATAAAAGTAAATAGAAGGCTGGGCGCGGTGGCTCATGCCTGTAATCCTAGCACTTTGGGAGGCCAAGGCGGGCAGATTGTTTGAGCTCAGGAGTTCAAAACCAGCCTGAGCAAGAGCGAGACCCCCGTCTCTACTAAAAATAGACAGAAATTAATCGGACAACTAAAAATATATAGAAAAAATTAGCTGGGCATGGTGGCACATGCCTGTAGTCCCAGCTACTCGGGAGGCTGAGGCAGGATTGCTTGAGCCCAGGAGTTTGAGGTTGCCGTGAGCTAGGCTGACGCCTCGGCACTCTAGCCCGGGCAACACAGTGAGACTCGGTCTCAAAAAAAAAAAAAAAAAAGTAAATAGAAATACAAACTCGCATGTTTCATTCTGCACCCCATAAATCCTTTTGTTGATTCTCTGGGTGCAAGCATCCCATGCTGGAGACCATAAGCTAAGCTTCTGGTATACTATTGAGTGATTTCTACCTTATCTGCTCATTTTGCCTCTTAGGTACTCTTGTCTAGAGCAGCATCACTTGACTTGATTAATATTCAGAAATATTTTTGATAGTTTTTTTTCTCAACTTGCAAATAGAAAATGATTTGGAAAACTTTCAGATTTTCTAGGAATGAAGGATGTGCTTTAGAAATACTGTAATTAGTAGTTTCATTTCTTTAAAGGGCATTTTTCTTTAATTTATTGCGATCATTATGACCAAAGTTCCCACCATTCTGACAAAGACATTCCACGCTGAGAGCCACTTTTCATGCAGAAAAGAAAAGGAGGATGAGGACATGTTTTCTGAGCTCTTATTCACCAAAGCTTTACAACTCTGGGGACATAGAAACAATTGAAAAAGTGGTGTGGATCATAACTTGGCAGAAAAGAAAATATACATTTCCTGGGTTGCAAACTGGGACTGTGCACTTAATCACCACCCAACAAAGGAAGTCCTGCTTGTGCTTTACTTCCTCCTAACGTGCCTTCATTTACCACCTTAGGTATATGCTCATGGACTCTTGTTACCATTTCACACATGGGGCTTTCTGCAGGTAAAAATCGTGGCAATTAATCTGAATGCAGCCGAGGAAGCCCTGGAAGCTTATCAGCGAGAGAAGCAGCAGCAGCTGAATGAACTGCTGGTTGTGATACCGTTCAAGCTCCACCAGGTGATGCCTCTGGAGGGGTCGCCCCACCCTGTCTGAGCAGAAAAGTCATCACACGCAGGCTTTCCCAGAGAAGGATCCATGGGTCACTAGTGGGGAGAATCGTGGTCCTTTGCTGAGAATTCTACCTTTAGAATGACACCCAAACTTTTCTTACCCACTGTCAGATTGGTATAAAAGAGTAACATCAAAACATGCATATCCCTCCCCACTGTGGCCCATTATCACTTTGAAAGTCCAGTCATGTCAGGTCTGGAGAAATGAGCAGCTGTGACTTAAGAATGGAATGGCCTGGAGGTTGAAGCCTTGGGTCTCACACACATGTCCCTGCCTTTCACACCATCTGTAAAAAGACAGGAACTAATGATGCAAGAATGATCACTTAATCTCTACTCATTATCGAGGGAGGTAAAGACAAAAGGAAAATATTTTCTCTTTTTCCCCACTCTGTTCATTTCCACTCTACTTGAATTGCAGCTTATACTAAGTTGTAAGAATATGTAGCAGTGAGAGAAAAGGCTCATGGTATCTTCGTCTATCAGGTTAAGAGAAGAAGCTGTGCTTTATAAAAAAAAAAAAAAAAATTCTATCGTGCTTTCTGTTACCTTACATTTAGTTTGTTTCTTTGTCAATTTTGTCTTTGATTTTGGTTGGTTTTGTTTTTGCAGATAGAGCATGTGGTACTTGGAGAAATACCTAGTGATCTTTCTGGTACTTTGGTCTTCTCTAACCAGTCCTTGGGACGGCTGCAAGAACGAATCGTCCAGCTCCACGAGGAAAATTCCAAGCAACAAAAACTTAACAAAGAATGGCGGGAGAGACGTAAACAGCTCGCTCGAGAAAAGAGGGAGATGGCAAAAACTATCAATAGTGAGTATCTCAGCCCGTGGCCTAGCGAGTAATATTTATTGGTAAGAGAGGGTAGTACCAAGCGACATAGTCTCCAACTGTGAAAACAGTAATTAGATCACCTTTGCATTTTCCTACTTACCATTTCTCCTGATACCATGAAAAGATCACTTTCCTATGTTAAAAGGAGAAATCCTTTATCACAGAATCTGCTTCTCTTTTTGTGTGATTAAGATGTAGAATAATATAATAACCCATGTACCCACTACCCAGCTTAAGAAATAAAACATTGAAGATACAATTGAAGCCCCTTCTCTTTCTAATACTATTCTGCTGCTGCTTCCCCAGGGTATCCCCCAGGTATGTATGCGTACGTATGTATGTGCACATGTGTGTACATGCATACACACACAATACATAGAACTACCTTGCATATTTTTAACTGTGATGGTATTTATATCATTTTATGGTTCAATTTATTAAACCAATTTTTGAGTTATACATATTGCTATAGATAATTTATTCATTTTAATTATAATATTCCATTGTATGATATAAAAGAGTTTACTTCTTCAGTCTCCTGTTTATGGATATTTCTAATTTTTCATTATTATACACAGTGTTACAGCAAACCTTCTTGTAAACATCTCCTTGTGCACATGTGTGAGAGAGTGACTTCCTGGCACAGGGATCTCTGGGATATAGGGGGATTTGTGCATTTTCAGCTCTCCTGGGTATTGCCAAGTTTGCCCCCCAAAGTTGTTGAACCAATTTATCCTCCCCTGGCAGTACGTGAGAATTGCCCAGGTACCATGTTATCACAAATGCTTGATATTATCAGACTTTAATATTTTTGCCAGTCTGGTGGATGTTAAATTATATTTCACTGTGGTTTTTATTCACATTTCCTTGATTGCTGGGAGGTTGAACATCTTTACATACATTTATTTGCCATTTATTTATTTCTTTTTCTGTAGCTTGCCTGTCATATCCTTTGTCCATTTTTCATTTGTTTTCTTATTGATTTTTATGAGTTTTAAATATATTCTTTTTGTTCATTAAATGCATTCCAAATCTTTTCTAGTTTGTGGCTTGCCTTTTTACTTTGTCTAGTGTATCTTCTTGGAATACAGACTTTTTAAAACTTAATATAGTAAATTTTATCCATCTATTTATTTATGGTTTGTGCATTCTGTGTGTGTGTGTGTGTCTTGTTTAAGAAATCCCTTCCTATTTTGAGGTCATAAAGATTTTTTTGATCCAGCCATACCGTTGCTGGTATCATATCCAAAGGAAATGAAATTAGTAAGCAGTACGTGGAAGAGATGTCTGTACTCCCATGTTCATTGCAGTATTATTCACGATCACCAAGATAACTAAGCATCCATAAGCAGATGAATGAGTAGAGAAAATGTGATATATACATACAATGAAATACTATTCAGCCTTTAAAAAGAAGGAAATCCTGTCATACGGAACAACATGGTCGAACCCAGAGGACATTATGTTAAGTGAAATAAGTGACGCACAGAAAGGCAAATATGGCATGATTTCATTTATACGTGGAGAGTAAAAAAGTTGAATTTGTACAAACAGAGAGTACAATGGTGGTTACCAGGGGCTTTGGTAGCAGGGGAGGGGGGTGGTTGGAGAGATACTGGTCAAAAGATACAAAATTTTAGTTAGTTAGGAGGAACGTGCCCAAGAGATCTATTGTACAGCGTTGTGACTATGGTTAATAACAATGTATTATATTCTTGAAAATTGCTGAGAGGAGATTTTAAGTGTTTTCACACAACAAAAAATATAAGTATGTGAGGTGATGCATGTTACTTAGCTCAATTTAGCCATCCACAA